ATCACATTCAAACACCGATGGGACACACATCGGAGGCTGTGAGGGATTCAGTGTCTTGCCCAGGGACACTTCAGCATGTGACTGCTGGTGGATTCGAACCCCCAACTCTCGCATTGGAGGACGACTGCTCTAATCACTCAGCCACAGCTGCCCTAGATAGAAACCAGTTGAATCAGACTCATCTCTCCTTCACAGTCAGACTCTGGTTATAAACTGGTGTAAAACGGTGTTCACAAAATACATGTTCAACTTTCTCCTGCTCTTCACATCCTCAAGTGATCATGAAAAAGTGAAAGAGACAAGCAAACCTTTCTTCATATGCCCTGATGCTCAATAATCCATCAATTATCTTTAATATGCTTTTCTTTTTCGGGTTGTGGGAGGTTACTGGTGTCCATGTCCAGCAATCACTGTGCGAGGGGCAGGGTACACCCTGGACAGGTCTCCAGTCCATCACAGAGATACACAGAGACAAACGAGACAAACAACCATTCACTCTCTCACTCACACCTAGGGACAATTTAGAGTTACCAATCAGCCTAACATGCATGTTTTTGGTCTGTGGGAGGAAACTGGAGTACCTGGAGAAAACCCACACATGCACAGAGAGAACATGCAAACTCCACCCAGAAAGGCCCTGGTCTGGGATTCGACCCGTCGACCTGCTCGCTGAGAGGCAGCAGCTCTACCAGCTGAACCACCTGCTCAGTGATCCAGGTGAATCTAACAAGGTTGAGTCAGGTCCTCTGGACGGATTCTTCTTTGTTGAAGAATCTGATTTTTTAAATAAATGTAATTATGAGCTCAGAACTTTAAGGATTCTTCAGTTATTTAAGACAGTTAGTAAAATGTCATTAGTTGTAGAGTACTGTAGTTAATGTTTTCCTGTATTTTGTTCTGTTACTAAAATCAAACAAACAAAACAACTATGGGTAAATTTACATAAATGACAAAAAAAAAAAAAACTGCTTTAAAGACAAATGTTTTTTTTAATTTTTTTCTTTTTTTACAGATTTAGTTTTAACTTTGCTCCTGACTAATTTATAAATGTCTCAATTTGTTGATTGTTGTTTCTTTTTACATTCAGTTTATTTATGGTTTTATAATTTATGGTTCTGTGATGGATTTTAATAGGAATGTCGTTGATTTTTGTTTCATTATTATTTTTTCAAGTTTCTCAATTTGTTCCTTTTTGAGCTTCTGTTAATTTCTGATGCAGTCAATAAAAACAAACAAAAAAATAGGTTTGAGGAAAAAATAGTCAAACCATTTTTTTTTAATTGACTTAATCTGCCGTTAGTTAGTCATTAAAAGTGAATATCTGTAAAACCCAAATTTTCTCTTTAGTTGAGTATGTAGCATGAAGCTGCGCTGCTCTAACTCTGACCTCTGACCTTTATTCATCTTCCAGACTCACCATGAATTGTTTTCTTTAAAGTTTCCCTTGACTTCAATAATGGCTGATGTTTTCACACATGCACCGTCTTTGGACTCAGAGTCAGCTAAAGTCTGATAAATGTTTACCTTATTTTTCCTATGTTGCTAAGTAAGAAAAACAAATAATTAATGAAGTTTGTTTTATTTGATTAACAAGTGTGAACATGAATAATTTTGATTGTTATTTTTAATCATTATAATGAAATCATGTGAAATATGACCATGTGTTTAACATATTTCTCTGTTCTGTTTTTCAGAAAGTGATGATTCCTTCAGAGACACCTGTTCTAAAAAGCTTTTTGAGCTGGAGCAGTTTTCTTCAGAAGGGAGTCACAATGTCCCTGAGAGTAGTCAAAATAATCTTCTCAGAGCTGTTGTTTTGCACAAAGATCCTTTGTGTGAAAAAAGCAGTTCATTTTGGACTCTGAACCAGAACCTGGTTTGTCTTGTCCTGATGTAGTCCGAGGTCCACTCGTTTAATCCTGAGCAGATAAACATGTTGCTCAATTACAATTTGTTAGAAGCAAAATAGAAGTAACTATAGAAGATGAATCATTTTCTCACTGCAAGACTCATGTTCTCCACTTGAAGTCTAAGCTGACTGAAGGTGCCGATGGACGGTGCACCTTCTCATCAGCTGTTGCCCTCACAGACCCCTGAAGCTGTCACGTTGACGTTCAGCTACCTTGGGCAGTTCCTGGCGAGTCCTCCTCATGGTCTATCCTGGTCAGATCCACCAGCAGAACTCCAGAAAGACGAGTAACCTGGTGGCCTCTGACCTGGTAAGGAGAATCTGGTGACATGATGCCTTGGTCTGGTTATGCTATTTGAGCTGGTGTAACTTGGTAAATCATTTCTTGACTTGCAGGGATAATAAATGACTTTATCTGATCACATTAAATAACTTCCTCCAACCAAAATCCAAAGTGAACTATTTTTTAAAATGGTCAAACTTTGTCTAAATTCATGCGCGTATAAAACTGAAATAGTTCCTGCTCAAAGAATGAATTTTGTCTTAGATAAGATAATTAAACTTTGATTGATTCATTATTATTGTTTGTTTATTATTGTTGCTGACAGTTTGATTATTTTTGTAATAAAACTTTGAAGACAACTTTGGTCTCTTCATTCAGATGAATATTCATGTGTTCTGGTGTAGAACTCCCTGAAATTAACAGATTCCACTTCAGTGACTGATTTTGATAATTAAAGGGTGAATATATTAATTAAGTTGTTGTTGGTCAGTAAACTGACCAGCTGGTGCCACACTTTAACAGAGCTAAATAAATAAAAATAAATGTAGTGGAGGGGAGTGGAGAAAGTGTCACCCTTCTTCCTCCATCTCAACCTTCCTATTTGCTACAAGTATAAATTACTGAATTTATATGTTGGACAACTTAAACACCTGCACACTATTTAAAAAGACATAACGTATTACAAATTAAAATAAACATGTTTCTTAAAGAAGACTGAACGTTATTTAATCAAGTCAGACTTTGACACTTTTTAAACACAATTAAAACTTGAATTCATATTTGGGAAAAACAAGTGAGGAATAAAAATATGACAGTTTATCTTAGCAAAGCTGCATGTCTGAGTGAGAGTGACCCTTTGCAACATTTAATCCATTACAAGCTTGTGAGAAGAATACTGCTGTAAGCTTGAAATCTCTTTAATACAACACCCATTAGGAAAGTGCTGAGCTCTTTACCATCAGCTAAGATGCTTCATCACTCAGCTGCACCGTAGCCTCTGCTCACTTCAGTGCAGTGTGCAAAATCACAGCTAACTGCAGAACAAATAAGACTATTTTCAATAGTTTCTTTCTCTTCTTCTCACTCTTTGTCCGCTCCCCAAAATGCTTTATTATTGCATTTAGGAAAATCAAAATTTCTGAAGTGAGTCGCTAACTTTTAGCTGAAATCCTCATTTTTAGGGAGTGCAGAAATAAATCAGATGGGCAGACAAAGAGCATGGAAGGTTGAAGTTTATGTGTGAAAGTATTGAATTTGTTGATTGTCACCTGCAGCTCAAGGTCAAAAACAGATGGTCATGGTTTTACATGTGTCTGTGTGTCCGTTACCAAAATCTCTCATGAACCACTGGAAAAAAATTATTGAAACTTTCAGAACATTCTCATCTGGTGTACATCTACAACATCTACAGTTCGAGATGGTCGCCACAGCTAACTGATGTAAGCTAATACAAAAATATATATAGTTATAACTCGGTATTACACAATGGTGTAGTCTGCATTTTTGTAGTACGTATACTATACTTAGAAACCAAAGTACACGATTAGTACAAAGTTATCGTCAATTTATTTAGATTTTTAAGCATATTGAACATTTCCAAATTTTTCTTTGTACAACTGTTGGCTTTATATTAAAAACATGTTATAGAATTTATAAAACTGCATTAAAGCAAAGCATGTTCGAGTATTAAATAGTAAGTACAGAATTACACAATAATTTGTTGGATAAGTAAATGTAATAAACAAGCGCTGGATACAGACACATTGTTACAGAAGCATTTAACTGACATTTAACATATAAATGACATGTGTCTAATGATATGCCATGTATTATTGTGCACTTTTAAGTGGGTACAATGAAATTCTTGAACTTTTCTAGTGGGTATACTACATATACCAGCGTATCACGTAGACTACACCACTGGTTTTACAGATACTGAGCTAAATTTGATGAGGTAATAACTGAGATTCATTCACATCACATACTCATGGGAGTGACATCTCACAATATTGCATTAGATTGAGTTATTTCCAAAGTTTGACCAAAATGGCTACGATGGTCATTTTTCAATATAAGATTGTTAGTCTCAAACTGGCATGAAAGATGACAATATGCATTTGTTTAGAGAATTCTTTAATTCTTGCATGTTATCATGTAGATCATTAGGACCCAGTTCAGTTTTCTAGTGGAACACCCTGTTCAAGTTGGACACAACATTTATGTTTCTACCTTTAGGGCCTGTAGTTGCGTGAAAGTGTTTTGGCAATACAAAGTTTGTTCTTCACGCCTCGTATATTTTATTTTGATAAACATTAGGCGAAATTTAATTATAGCTACCAAAGCCAAAAGTTTGGCACTTCCATTATGCTTTAAATCGGCTCACATTCTAAGTCATAAACATTTTAACAAACATCTGGAAGGATTTTTTTTTTTTAAACCCTGATGGTTTTTAGGATTCTTTTCAAAAGCCATATCGAAAAGATTATAGGATGATAAGAGAAACTTTAGACTTATTTATTGGTTTATTTGTTTGTTTAACGCATGCAGGCCACAGTGGCACCGTGAACACGTTTAAAATAAGCTAGCTGGTTGTAAACATGCTCTGAGAATCAGCAGCGAATGCATAGCTCTGATACAATAACGAGCAGGCGTAACCTTAATAACTTGATGAGTGGTCAGTTATGTTTGCAGTGACGGCTGGATTAAATATTAGCCGTGGCCTAAATCTATTTGTGCTGACGGATTTGGAAAGCGTTAATCCAAGGTGTGCCTTTTAAAAAGCCAGACTGTGGCCATCCCATCCATTTGTAGCAAGGTCCATCTGCATCTCTCTCCCAAAAAGCCAAGAAGAAACAACTGAAGGGGCGGAAAGAAACCACAAGCCGCAACCATGAACGGCACAGAGGGACCATTTTTTTATGTCCCTATGGTAAACACCACTGGTATTGTTCGGAGTCCTTATGATTACCCTCAGTACTACCTTGTCAACCCAGCAGCCTATGCTGCTTTGGGCGCCTACATGTTTTTTCTCATTCTTGTTGGCTTCCCCATCAACTTCCTCACTCTCTATGTCACCATCGAACACAAGAAGCTGCGAACCCCTCTAAACTACATCCTGCTCAACCTTGCGGTGGCTGATCTCTTCATGGTGTTCGGAGGATTCACTACAACGATGTACACCTCCATGCATGGCTACTTCGTTTTAGGACGCCTTGGCTGCAATCTGGAAGGATTCTTTGCTACCCTTGGTGGTGAGATTGGTCTGTGGTCACTGGTTGTTCTGGCTATTGAAAGGTGGCTGGTTGTCTGCAAGCCCATCAGCAACTTCCGCTTTGGTGAGAACCATGCTATTATGGGTTTGGCCTTCACCTGGCTCATGGCCTGTTCCTGTGCTGTGCCCCCCCTTGTCGGCTGGTCTCGTTACATCCCAGAGGGCATGCAGTGCTCATGCGGAGTCGACTACTACACCCGTGCAGAGGGCTTCAACAATGAGTCCTTTGTTATCTACATGTTCATCTGCCACTTCCTCATTCCCCTCACTACTGTGTTCTTCTGCTATGGCCGCCTGCTCTGCGCTGTCAAGGAAGCTGCTGCTGCTCAGCAGGAGTCCGAGACCACCCAGAGAGCTGAGAGGGAAGTCTCCCGCATGGTCGTTATCATGATCATCTCCTTCCTGGTTTGTTGGCTTCCCTACGCCGGAGTGGCTTGGTACATCTTCACACATCAGGGCTCCGATTTTGGACCACTCCTCATGACCATCCCGGCCTTCTTCGCCAAGAGTTCCTCTATCTACAACCCAATGATCTACATCTGCATGAACAAGCAGTTCCGCCACTGCATGATCACCACCTTGTGCTGCGGGAAGAATCCCTTCGAAGAGGAGGAAGGAGCATCCACCACTGCTTCCAAAACCGAGGCCTCCTCTGTTTCCTCCAGCTCTGTGTCTCCTGCATAAAAGGAGCAAGAAGAAAAGGCTCCAGAAGCTACCATCCAAGAAGAAGACTTCTGCCCTCCCAGGGAAACGACTGAAGGCTAATGTCTATAAAAATATCTTTCTTTTTGTATTTTTACAAACCAGTTGGTTCAACCTAAAGACAGTTGCAGGAAAGGTCAGCCCATTACAGAGTTGTTCCTGTATGTACAGAATATCCAACTAAATAATCTTTGACATGTTTTGTTTTTCCTCAGAAGAAAGGAGAAAGAACATTTCACAGTTGGATCTTAAATGATAACTGGCTTACTTTTGAATGTAGAGGCATGTATTCAAGGCAATGTAAAATAAAACGCACTTTGCAAATGACTCATCAGATTTATGTTTTGATTACAACTTGGGTGGAAAACTTTACATGACTGTAGTATATCTATTGAAACAAATAAACGTGAATGACCGATTCGAAACGCATTCATGTCTGGAGTCAGTTTCTATTTGTACAACAGAGTGCACCTCTTGGTACCAGAACTTTAGATAAAAACGGTAGTTTAAAATTATAGTTTGGCTGTATTCAAAGTTGTGCCTGCATCGCCACTTTCATTTCATTTTAATAACTGGTCACCTTGAAGGTAAATCTTCAAGGAATTACAGGATTAATCCAGGATAATCATACACGACACAACAACCAGCTTTATCCTATTATGATAATCAGTTATTGAGGTTAATAGAGAATAATGGTTAATACTAAGCTGCTGTTACTAAAAGACACCTTGATACAAAGGTTATAGATATAAGCCATGGGCCATTGCTTATATTAACGACTTCTACATAACCTTTCTATTCCCCTCTACACCTCAGCCATGGCTGAAAATACCTACTCAAAGATCCATTTTGCATCAGAAGACTTAATAGGTAACCCCTAGATGTAGGAAGTTAAATATTGTCCATAATGTCTCAGTAAATCTAAGAGTTATGCATGTTTTTGCTACTTTATCAAACATCAACTTTAAGGTAGTTTGTGGGGGGACTGTGGATGGATTATTAGAGGACAAATTCTTTTTGCAAAGGCATTTGTGTTGCATTCAAGTGTTAGCAACAATCATTTACTAATTATTAAGGGTTTTAGGACTAAAATGATATCTACTCTTGGAGTTGTAGTGAAATGACACTTTATATATATATATATATATATATATATATATATATATATATATATATGGTACTGTATAATGTATAGTGGGCCTTTTAAGAAAATAATCTATAACCATTCTACAATGACCTTCATGTGGATCCACAGCAGCCATAGAGCCACAGTGCAGTATGTTAAATGAAAAACTGAGGTCAAACATACACAAAGTATTTTATTTAGTGACAACTTTGCGCTATAAAGGAGAAGCTTCTTTTCCGCTTGAGTACAAAATTAAACATTCTGTGCAACGTCTTAAAAAAAATGGTTATATTTCGTTTACAGAGAAAAGAAAGGAGGTCGCATTTTGAAAATAAATGCCACTTAAAAGGTATTTCAACTAAAATTGGTTAAGTTGTGCTAAATGAGGTGACCAGTCATATCAGTGGTGAAATGCTACAAATATTTTGGGGACTGGACATACTAGCGTTCATGCCTTTGTAATTATATGTTTTAGTGTCGTCTCAATTGAAGGAATAGACAATTAATTCATTGTTAAGCACTCACTCATCTATTACATCATGAAACCTGTAAAATTACGACTACCTGGAAGAATTTCTAGGAATCTAAGATACAAAATGACATGCGTCTACAGACAAATCGGTTTTTAGACCCACAATGGACAATCTGTAAAACTAGTTTGCCAACACAAGAATCAAGCTTAATCTTTGGAATGATCAGAACTGTTTTCTTAGACAATATTTTCATGTAACTTGTGTAAATGTGTTTGCAGCGACAGCTGAATTCATGAACTGTTCATCTAGTTCTGCACTCAGTGATGTTACGTTTTGTACCACAGAGCGACCGCGACTGATGCGTCGGTGTTGACTTCAAAGGCGCCTCCTGAGGTGTGTGCTTGTGCAGAGAACTGAAATCCTTTTGAGTTTGTATGGAAAACTTTATTTGATAATAAAAATATCATCCACAGACTTCTTTTGATAGCTACATATACATTGTAATCCATCTCAAGGAAAAGAAGCTGGATAAGTCCACATCTACTTGTACTTTGACTAATGTTATGTTTAGCTTCATGGGTCAAATAAAGCTATGAACAATGTAGTATTTATATATGCATAGTTATATAAAAAAGATTGGCCCATATACATGTACTGCTTTTTATCAACACAGAGACAGCATTATGTCTGGAGCACGTTGCAAGAAATAATGCTTGAAGAGAACACAGACTGCATACAAGTGCTTTATAATACAAAGGCAGGCTAACCATAGAGAGAATCAAACATCAGCTTCTGATTGAGCAAAGACAGTCTTTCATGTTAAAATGTCTTTACATACCTGATCCAGAGTAAATCAACATGTTTACCATAAATCATCAGGTCCATTTCAGAGATATAAACATAAAATCACATTCCTCACTGCTGAGGGGTTTTCATAAATTTCTCTTTTTGTGCAAGAAAAAGGCAACATTTTATTCCTTGACGTGTTCCTACAGTGTTGGGGAAAAATCTTTACAGGTGTTGGCCAACCTCTCCTTTTTTAAAGTTCTGCTTCTTTTTTTTTTTTGATACAGTACCATGGTGACAACAGTGATGGAACAATGCATTTGTGGTTTGCCCAATATACAGTTTTAGTTGTTAAACAAAACAGAGAACGGAAAACACTCACAAAAACATAAAAGCAGCAGGTCAAACTCCAGTGGCGTGACAGCATGGCTCAGCATGGCAGATCAGTTGTCTCCTCCACCAGGACTCTTCATAAGTTATCATCACAGCAGCTCTCCGTGTGTCAGAACCCAGGAGGTGTGGGGGGGTCAGGGCTCGAATGTGGATATAATAAACATGACGGGACTGGGACCACCTATTACTGTGTGTGTTTCTTTATCAGTTCTTCTCACTCACCGTTTTAAGTGGTTACACTACATTTTAATTTACACATGCATCTTGCACAGAAATCATTTACATTTTATTTTTATTTTTGGCATATCTGCACAATCATACTTCCTGGCAGCTTCAGCTGGTATTGTAGCATAATGCAGACTAAATGAGTCAACTCAGATTCTGTGAGGCACCAAATTAAACTGACTGTCACTTCCCCACAGCACAGAACAGCTTCGAGCTCCTTTGTTTACTGCATCAGTGCACATACAGGAAAGTCTGGAAAAAATAAACCAAGTTGAAGAATACTAAAAAAAAAAAAAAAGCTATGCCAGCTTTCACTTCACTTTTGTACGGTGGCCCTGAGGTGTAAATGAACAACATTTGAAAAAACAGAATTCAATTTGAAAAAATACAACAAAAACTACAAAAAACAAAACAAAATTTGAAACAACGGAATGACATTAAGCCAAAGCGGAAGTGGCCAACGCGGAAGTGGCCAAAGCGGAAGTGGCCAACGCAGAAGTGGCCGGAATCACATTTGAAAAAAATGGAATCATACAAAAATTATATAACTTCTGTTTTTTTTGTAATGTGATTCAGTTTTTTCTAATTCAATTCCGTTTTTTTCAAATGTGTTTTAGTTGTTTTAGTTGTGTTTTTTCCAAATGTAATACTTTTTTTTGTTTTTTCAAATGTTCATTGACACCTTAGGGCGACCTCTCTGGAAAGCAAAGAGCTGTCAAACATTTCACTGCAGCACAACTGGGGGCACAGCATGCTCACACTTCCTTAATAATTCAACGTAGCTTGCTCAAAACACATGGCAAATTTAAATTAAATAAACAAATTTATTAATTTCATATATTATTTTTAAATTAAAAAAAAAATTCACTCTAGTTTTACCATCCAATCTTGAAATTAGTTGTCCGTTTAAATCTATTGTGAACCGTCAACATCTTATTTTAAAGTTTGTCTAAGAATGCAAGGGCGGAAAAAGACTAAACAAGTTCAAAATAAGCTCGTTAATTAGAAGTTACCACAAATGGAAGCATTATTCATACCTCAGAGGGAACAAATATTTAAAGTCGGCAATGTTTACGAAAAGCAACATCACTGGTTTCATATGCAGGCACATACAATACCTTTACTACAGTACAACAACCTCCGTTATGCTCAAAATAACTAGAACAATGACAACACAACCGGTAGAAACTGATAGTAGGATTGTACTCCTGCTGTTTAATTAATTTATGGGTGGGACCACAGTTTAGTCAATCAAATCAATAAACCATTCAACCAAATAAAGAATAAGAGTTAGTATCGTCAGAAGTCCAATTCCAGTGTATGGTACAAAGTTTGCACAGATAGAGGAGAGAGTAGTGAGGGGAACCTCTGTCCTAGATGCTAAGGTCTTTATGACTTTCTTTGTACAGCCTCCTCTTGGGTTCAGGGACCTGGTTTGAGCTGCGGCCTCCTGTGTTATTGTTATGGCCTGCGTTGTTGTAGGTAGCATTGTTGTGTGCAGCGTTGTTCTTCATTATGCTGTAGTAGTCCTTCAGTCTAGGTGCTGCTGCATAGTTCAGCTCGTCCCGGCTGTAGTTGCTGTCAGGGGAGGAGTCCCGCTCTGCTCTGCATCGTCGCTCCACTGTCCCATTCATGTGATGTCGTTCCTCCCTCCTCTCTGAGGAAGAGTCTCTCAGAAGGTTGCCGTTCTTCGTGACTTTATCGTATGTGCGACCCCTGGAACGAGACAAGGAATCCACGCTGTTGTTGGCGCGCTCAGGGGTCGAAGCCTCACTCACTCGCCCAGCTATCTGTGAGTCCTTGAGGAGCCTCCGCTCGTGAAACCTCCGTTCGGGGGTGACTGAGAGGAACCCTCCATCATCGTGTTCCCTCTCAGGCGTGCGGTCATGATACCCTCGCTCTGCCCTGCGGTCCATAGATTTCGCCCGTCGACGATCTGGAGATGAGGTGCGCTTTCTGCTTGGTGAGCGGTCAAGGGACCCACGACGCTGTCGAAGATACTTCTCATCCAAAGTAGGACCGCTGCTTGAAAGCTCTCGGCTCTTTAGTTTTTCGGCGGCCGCAGCCTTTTTTCCTGAGCTGTCCTTCCTCAGAGTCTTTAGAAGTTTAGAGATGCCACTCTCTGATTCAGACTTTTTGACTTTACGACCTCTGCTTTTCTTGTTGCCACTGCTACTGCCATTACTGTCAGGGGACTGCTGTCTGGGGGTACTTTGACTGTGGTTATTATTCCAAGTGTAATGGTGATGGGGGTTAAATTGGCGGCCTTGGAATTCCATCTGATCCGAACCAGCCCTGTCCCTGTTCTTGTCCATACCACGGCCACAAGCAGCCTCCTCCAGGCGTGATGATTTGTGAAGGTCAGGTGGATAACTGGACTCCAATGAGGTGTGATATCGGCTGCTGTGTGGCAACGTCCTCACTTCCGGAGTGTTTTGTGCCCCGGGTGTGGGAGGGTTCCCGTCACTGCTGCCATCTGCAGGAGAGGAGAAAGGAGGACAAATATGTTGAAAACCAAAATGCTTTAAAGGAATCACTTGGACAGATGCAATAAAAGCTGCACATTCTGCTGACTTATGGAATTATCTCGCATTGAGGTGACAAAAAGTCAATGCAGATATGGACATCATGCATTGATGTGTGTTATGTTTTAATTACCTGTATGTAATCTCAGAAACAACCATATCTAAATGATTATACACTGATTTACGCATATACACATAAAAAAAGCATACCAGTAACAAAAATAAATTAGGTCTAAACGTGTTTCTGCGTGTTACAGCTGCGGGTTGAAACACAAGGTGATATCAGCCGGTGCAACACATCAGCAAGTTTAGGGCAAGGGTTATCAATGAGACAGCAGGCACCTAGGAAGTCATTTCAAACAACATGTGCATTGGAAAAACAAAAAATAATAAATAAAACTGATAAAAAAAAGGTGCATTTGGAGGAAGACCAGCCAAATGATGTGGGTTGCTATGGCAGCAGCGTTTGATGATTGATGGCATTAGTTCCTTTTCTGAAGCTGGTAAAGAGGGAGGATTTGCACATGTATGAACTCAGAGGTTACATACATAAGAGTTTAATTCAAGCATGACGAGACATCGTATAAACACATCCGCACACAAACACAAAGCAGGATGCAAGTAAGGATGAGCTGAAAGGGTGTTTACAACTCAGGGTGGGTGGGGGGGGTTATGATAGCAGTGAGGGCGAACTGGGACAGACTTTTGGTTACAAACCGTGGTCTGATTTTGGCCCATTAGGTAGAAACAGGGCTCTCCCATCTTGTCATTCCTCATTGTACCAACAGCGAGATGAGGAGCCATCATCGCTGGAGAGGAGGAGGAAGAGCCCAGCAACAATCAGAGAGAAAAGAAGGAGTAGAGAGAAGAAAACAAATAAAACAGGCAAGAGGCTGTTTTACAGTACATCCACTGAGAGAAGAAGGGATTTGTTGGAAAGACAAGAACATATTTTCTATACAGCATTCAAAATATTCTAAAAAGTGTCTGATAATTATCCCCAATGAAAATCTGCTGATAATGCTCAATAAATTTATACAAACTATGTTCCAGCGGTGGAATTAGCATCTTTATTTAGCAGAAGAAAAATCAAACCACTGCAATATAGTTACGTACCATACTCAGGTACAGACCCGTCGCCTCTTTTCAGGACAAGTCGTGCCCTCCGACCGCCGTTCTTGATCAGCTCGATGGCTCGTGAATGCTTCATGCTCTTTGTGCTCTCACCGTTGATCTCCAAGATCTCGTCTCCCACCTTTAAAACAAAGAGGTCATGTAACTAGACAAGCTGGCCAATGGTATGGCTTCAAAGTGTAAACAGAGGGGAAAGTCATTGTGAGAACATCGGTTCGTAGTTTCATACCCTCATCTTGCCATTTCTGACAGCAGCCCCCTCCTCTGCTAGTCTCAACACGTACAGGTCCATGTTGTACTCCCGTCCTCCTCTCAAACTGAAGCCGAAGCCTTTACTGTCCCTCTCGAGGTCCACAGAATAAAACTCTGCTTCCTGTAGTAAAATCCCAGTGAAAACACAACATTTTTTTACAGTAAAAATCTATAGTTCAACAAAAGTCTCAAAGGGTGAGTCTAGACTTCAAAACTACTCAAATCGTATCCCACATAATCTCCGCGTGCCAGTGGCAGGACAGTACCTTGGAAATGCATTAATAATTAATGACATGTGTGCATGCGAGCGGGTTACTGATCAGTAACAAGGGCAGCACATGGGTCGTACGCCAAAGTTTTTACATTCATCAAAAAGTTCCCTGGCATCGTCTCTTACAAAATAATTAGCCCGGTCTCACCACAACCTGCAACATGAGCGTGACCTCAGCGCTCCGTGGAGACAGAAGGGTCCTCCAAAACCATCCTATTTGTCAAACTCTAAGCTTTTTGTCTCCATTCTACATTTGTTCAACACCCCCACGGTTGACTCCTTTATGTTTGCACTTTCTTAGCAAAAGAATAAAACCTTTTGGGTTCATGATTATGGAGCGTGCACACTTCGACAGGTCATGCACATCCAGAAGTTTATATTTCCATGTGAGATCAGACTATAATCCTTTAGATACAGAAGCTTTACATCTAATCTGACAGTGTCATTCTAAACACGTCTCATAAATTTTATCAACAAGTGAAAGTAATAAACTAAATAAAAACAATTATTAAATATACCTATATATTTGAATCCCATACACTGAGAGCAAGCCTTGAGCTATAAACTGGTCTTTATTTCAGGCAATATAAAAAAACAACAGTTCTTATTTCACAATAATTGTACACAAATAAAACACTGTGCTGCATTTTTCTCTATACATGATAAAAATGACACACCCCACCTTTAATGATTCCTCACAGTTTGAAAACATTATGCCCTTTCAGTCTCTCCTTCCTCCAGTCCTCTATTAGTGACGTACTGCCCCCTTTAGATCAGTGAAATGTGTTGCAACAAAAAACTAATTGTAGTTTTCTTTCAGCTTCACTCTTCTTCATGGGTCACCACAGCAAGCAAACATCACAGAAGATTTGCAAAGTGTTTTACTCCAGATGTCCAGAATTATGAGGCCGAAGTACTGACCACCGAGCTCTGCAGCTCCTTGCAACAAATACCAAGAAGTAAATGCCAAGGAGCCTGTCATCTATTTTAAACTATCCTCTGGACATGGGGCGTTACTATTAGACAGTTTGACAACAGGAAATATCAACATTAATGTTAAGTTGTTTAAACCATTAATCCTGCCAAAAATCTATCTCCATTTAATGGTTTTAAGATTGTTATTTTAAATCCTCTCAGTTGAAAAAATGTCTGACTATGCGAATAGAAAACGTTCTGCGACAAACGCTTCATGCAAAGTTTTCTCTTGTTTTTCTTCTGTATCATGTATTGAAACAAATCCTTACCGAGAGCTGCGCCTTAAATAAACCTATACATGTATATATATATATATATATATATATATATATATATACAGTATATATATAATTTTTTTAAATTCAAAAATACTTTATTAATCTCAAAGGGAAATTAAACATTGTTGTAACTCATCGTCCTGGTTTCATTAAAGAGTTGTTATAGATGCTGATGGCTGTGGGCAGGAAGGATCTCCTGAAGCGGTCTGACTTACAGTGGATCTGAGGAAACTGGCTGCAGATGTTTATCTGTCTACTTGGACTTGGTGGATTTCTCGGTCTTCTTGGGCAGCAGGCCCACCTGAATCTATCTCCTCCCATAGCTACGGCCACTCCTCCCAGCAGCTTGTTGAGCTTCTCTTCATTGTGCATCAGCCAGCTGCAGGTGTCAGGGGATTATCCTGGTCTTCTTGTAGTCACGAGCCACTTTTCCCACCAGCTCCAGGATCTCGGCGGTCAGGTACTCAAGCACCTCCGCCAGGTAGATGGGGATGTGTCCACAGCACCTCCTTTTTAACTCATTTGTGATTTGGGGCTGAGTTATTATTTGAGCTTTTGAGATGTTAAATCAGCTGCTCCAAATTATAAAACCCACCTTGTTGTCATGGTTACGCATCATAACAAATGTCCAAAATCAAAAAGGTTTCAGTAAAAATCCTTCAAACTGCACAGCGTTTGATATCAGAGGAAATAATAATCCAAATAAGGCGATTTACATCCAGAAATAAGAGGAATTAAAGTTTGCAAAAGCAACATCTCAGAATGAAAGTAGCAGAGCTGCTCCAACATGCAGCCACCTTTAGCGGCGCAGTTCCAGAATTATATATTACATTTATATTACCTGTGTGTGAGGCTGTGATGGGGGTGGAGGGGGCGCTCCTTTTGACTTGGAATTATTCCTGTAAAAAAAAACACAGGACAATTACAAATATCCATCACATTTCAGGTTGGCGTTAGAACGTCACTTTTAGAAGGTATTATGTATTTGTATTTAAAAAAATCTATTATCACGCACCTGGGCTCTGTGGAATGAGGTGTGTGTGTCGTGGTGATGGTAGCTATCTTCTCAGCATTAGTCAGCAGAGAAGCATTGGAAGATTCTGAAAAAAACAAACAAACAATAAAGCATATGAAGCAAAGAAGCTAAAAGGAAGTAACCGCTTTTATTACACGCATTAGCCTGAAGCTGTATTTCTAACAGACTAAAGGACTCTCTGGAGAACAGAATGTTGCTGTCCAGAGGACTCCCCTTGAGTCCGCCACAGGCAGCTCCATCCAGCCTGATGCTAACTGTGTGTGATGCTGTCATTTGCCATTTGCTCAAGAACAACACTGGCCCCTTTGCAAGAAAGAACAACAGGAAGAAAACCTCTCGAGATGTATAATTTTGTTTCATCTTTTATTCTAGGAAAGATAAAAACAAGGACAACTGTCTTCTCTAGCTTGTTTAATTCTATCTCACTGGCAGGAGCAAACCTTCACACACAGACCAGCAGCAGGAGCGTCTGTGTTTAGCACAACCAGTTTGACTCGGTCCTCTCACGGTCTCTCATCTTCACTGATCCTTCAACTCATGACAACCTTCCTGCCCCTCAGACAATACAAATGCAGAAGACAAACTTTCTGTGAAAAGGTTCTGAACACATAATGTCGTTCTTGTTGTAGATAGCTCTTTGAACAGTTTGGAAAAATTAAGTTTAATTATAGCTGACAAGCTAATGACTACTTTGAGAAAAACCATGACCAAACTGGGTTGCTGCCATTTTAAAACAACTCCAATCTTAAATAAAAAAATCAAGTAGTTCACATGAATGCAGTTTTATAAACCTTTATACCACCATGTTTTTGCCATTTCACTTTTATTCCAGCCACAATGCCCCAGACTGCACCGGATGTGCTAATGCTAGCTTTAAATGCTGGTGTTTGTACTCACAAACAAACAAACAAACAAACAAAAGTTCTATGTGAATAAGAAGACGGTGCAAACTGACTGAGGTATTAAAGTTTATAAAGTAGTGTTCACTCAAACTGCTATGAAACGTTTGAGGTTGGAGACATTTAACGTCACATCAGTCCACTTCAGTATTAGCTGCTCTTGAACTAGCTGTTAGCTCAGCAGGTCAGGATTAAACTTTAATTCTTCAAACAGAGGCTGATCACAGAGTTACAACCAAAGGGTATTTTTATAATCTTTCCACAGAACCCACTTGAAAAGATCTGAACTATCACTTTAACTTCCTTTGTCACCCCCCACTGCAGGCAAAATAGGAACAACAAGAACAAGAACTGAAGTATCTGGAGTGTGTGTTTCTGTCTGTTAGCAAAATACCACAAGAACCATTAAACGTTTTTAAATAGAATTTCCAGAAACCAGTTATTGGATGCAAATCTACAACTGTTGAAGGCAGTCTAATACAAGATGGCCGCCACAGTCAAATAACATTAAAAACCTCACAAAAACGGATCAACCAAAATTGACCAATCTAAAGGTTAGTGTGGTTGTCAATGAGAATCATCCACTACACACACTCCAAGCTCTACACACTGCACAATACGTTTAAAACTGCCCACACTGTGTCTGTTAGCAAAATGTCTCTTCAACCACAGGACACATTTTAATAAAATATTCAAAAAGTGATCATTAGCTCCACATCTACAACCGACTGGAGTGAACCCAATGCAGGATGGCCACCACAGATTATTAACCTTACAAAACATAAACATGGCTACAAGACTGCCATTTTTACAGATATTGAACTAAAATGTGACGTGGTGGTAGCTTATAGTCATCCTCAACACATCCTCCAAGCACTAATTCTCCTCATGAGACATTACAATATCACACCAACTGTGCAAAAAGTCATTTTCAAGGTTTGACACAAGGTGACCTTAGTTTGAAACTCTGGCATGAAAGGCAGATGACGATATGCATTAAGGTATGCTAGGCTTTTAATTTAAAACTAAACTCTGCGCAGTGTCTTTTTTTGTGGCTCGACACTAACGGGTACCTTTGTTTTAGCATCTGGCACAAAACTGCTTAACTACGGTGGCCCTGAAGTTTAAATGAACATTTGAAAAAATGGAATTACATTAAGCCAAGCCAGAAGTGTTAAAATAAATAATAATAAAAAAAAAATAATAATTAAAAAAAATAAAAAATAAATAAATATATATATATATATATATATATAT